CAAAAAAAACTCTTCTGCAGACATAGTGTCTTTAAGCGAGGTGCATTTGGCGCTTAACGTCAGCGAATCTGAGCAACTTTTTACCAACACATTCCTTCTCAAGTTACAAAACATGTCAACCTTCATTGTACAGTTTCAACAAGACGGCTGAAAGAATGTCAACAATAACTTTGATAATCCGTTCTTCGGTGGGAAGGCATAATATACTGGCATTATCTTTATGATTCTGGGATAAAGCTGCTATCTTCGTCAGCAATAATAATTTTTCCATGTGATCGTTAGCCTGGTGCCAGTCAAACAAAAGCGGTTTATCTATCGCCTATCGCCGGAAGCAAGCTATAATCAGACTACAAAAGCGCATGACAGGGAAAACTGCGTTCGTATGCTCTTTAGCAGTAATGGCAGCTGTGAAAGTCTGTCTTGAATCACAGCATAATCGGTTGTGGAAGCTCTGATAATGAGTGACTTCTCTTAATGCTTGCAAGCAAACCAGTCTACTAAAAGCCACTCATAACAAACCCGTATAAACCGAAGACAATCGTCAATATTTATGGTAATGGCTAGCTTTGAGTCATGCTGTTTATCCTAAACAAGTGGAGATGGCGATGCACTGACAGTCAGAAACAAATTGAAACGATATCACAGAAAATATATCTTGCTTCGTAAAATGGTTAAAATCCTGGGGACTCAAGCATTAAAACATATATCGTCCCCATCATGACTATCATTACAAAATACAAACACTGGAGAAAGGCCTATTAAACCAAAAACGAACTTGCAACGACTGTTTCATCCATTGTTTGAATCAGACGAGGTCATAAAGAAATCTGCGGACTAAAAGTCTTACGCCTGTGTTTGAAGAACTCTATGTCATCAAAATGAAAGGTCTGATTAGACCTTTAACATGTTATTAGGTTTTCCAACAAATGATGAACATGCATGCTCCATCCTCATGTAGTCCCCATCTAAACATGCTAAACGTACGAGTCATCTCATGAGCATCGTTTGATCGGACTCGATATTTGAAGGACTATGATATGCGATATTCCAGGTCAGTCATTTCAATTTTGATGGGTTTGCCAAAAGGCGAATACATAATGAACACTCAAGAAACATGGATATACCACGTACTGAAATGTCTTCAAGGAAAATGAATAATTTTTTGGAAGAGTAGACAAACCGAAGCCCCTAAAGACCATGCGATTATGCCGCATAAATTTGTAAGAGTATAGTTTCACTCCTGCAATCACCGGATTTCATGGTCCATTGCACTTTCCCATTTGCATTGAACAGTTCAGTTCAGAACTATCTGTTTTCTGAACACCCTGAACAAATCCAAGGTCTGAAGAAAAAACTCACTAATGATCTGAAGATTATTGAGTGAAATTCTGAGTCCTGGTTCTATTGTTTTTTGTATATACCACAAAGGTAAAGAGAAGTTTTCATTTATAACTGTTGCAGCAAACATATGAAACTTAGTCAGCTGGTATGTACAGAGCTTTCGTGTGCAGAGATTCACTTTAAAACTAGGAGAAATTTATTCGCTCCCTGACTACAGTTTTAAATTTGTCCGTCCTCTCTACTTAACCGGAAGAAACAACAAACCTCGTCGAGGTGTACTCCTCAACATAAGTGCGGGTTGAGGACGGAGAGGGTGTAATGCGCGAGGAAATCCGAGTGGAGTTATACGCGTATTAATACACATAAAATAATGCGAAATGCATTTAACACAGCTGATGCTCAAATGTAATGAACCGGTGGCTTGGTCAAATAGCTCATTTCCAAACAACTAGATACAAAATGATGGTGAAATATGTCGTGAAGTCTGGCGATTGATTAAAAGAGAAATAATAAACATATGGAAAAGTTACGAACTAGCGAGCACTGACAAACTCAGACCGTAATTGACAATAAGCAGTTTATATATTTACAAGATTTAACGTAATCAGTATGACGTGCTATAATGACACTCGTCTCTACCTCGTTCAGAGCATAGATATTCGAGATAGCTAGTCGGTGTAAAGAAGCCGCTGATTTTACAGATTGAAAAGTCGCAGCTGCGATGATATACGTACGTCTTGCGAATGCCTTCTGAAAGGAAAGCGAAGCAACTGTTACCTGGCTATCAGGATATAACATCTCTGGAACAAGGATTACGCAAGTCGATGGAAAATCACTAAGCTAATGAACAAACGCATGAAGAAATAAAATGAAATGAAAACAGCAACAGGCCACAAATCAAAGATCGAATACTCAGAACGTAGCAAAATTTTAGGAAGACATTCGAGCACTGAAGTGCAAATTGGTAACGGAAGCTATTCCAGACAAAGCATCAAGAAACTAAGTCGATGGTTGACGACCGACTTTAGTTGTGAAAACTGAAGATGGAACTGTCATGAGGGAAAAACAAAACTTTATAGTGAGAGTGGAAAATTTCTACCAAAAGTAAACCAGCAGCAGTCTACATGACGATAAAGAACAGTAAGAAACGAACCAAGCTGAACAAATTCCAGATATCTTGCCAGAAGTGCGACGTGCAATAAAACAGGCAAAATGAGCACCGGCTGTTGTCGCAGATGGCAATACTGTACAGCTCGAAATCTGGAGGTACTAAGATATTAGCGGACTCCTTTTCACGCTGTTTGATAAAACTAAATATTCAAAACGATGGCCTGGAAGATTCAAAATATATTTATCTGGGAAACACTGTTTGTGTTTGGAACGCAGTTTTCAATCAGTGTATGCTCCCAGCGCTAACCTATAGGAGCGAAACGTAGACCTTATATCTGAAAGTTATTCATGAACTGCAGACTAAGGAACGGAGCAGAGAAAACTGAGTCTGACATAACAAGAAAACTAGCAAGCCCATTGAATGGCTAAGCGTACAAACAACAAACAAAAGTCTGTGGTGTGACAGCCCAAGTGAAGAAGTTAAAATCGCTCGACCAGAAAGGTATTAGAATACACTCCAGGAAAGGGTCTGTAAGAAGCCCTGCATATCGATGGCAAGATAAGCTGAAGAAGTTCGTTGGATCAAGATGAACAGAAATCAGTCTTGAAGAGACGTTCGTCCAGCAGTGGATCGAAAAAGGCTTATAACGTTTGTATTTATGAAATATTTTTTGGGTAAGTTATACACTTAAATTCTGAGCCTGTTAATGATGATTACAGATCCATTAATGTCGATTCACAGTTGAGAGTCAATTCACACAGATTTTGGCACTTTTAATACCAAAGCGTGCAGGCACACTCTTTGTAGCATCGTCATGGAATAAGTGATTATCAGGGTCCTAGCCGCCTTACACAAACAAAATGCCTCGATATAAATAAAGTGAGTAACTGACACAAAAACTGACATTTACAGTTTATTCTCTGTCACCGTTTTTCTCATGGCTAAAAATTTCAAGCAAGGTTAACATGCAACGTGTTTAAGGCACATCTGTTTTCACTTTTTAGCAATTAAACGACAAAACAGTAGTTTCTCATGAAAAGATTTAAATTTAAATTTGCTAATAAATCACGTGCAGTCACAACATAAATTTAATTGCAAATACGCAAATCTTCAAGAGAAAAATTTTTCACAAAAAACAT